ATAGGGGAGGGGATCTAAATAATTACCATCAAACTATACTGTTTGAAATTTGTAAAAAATTCAATTAAAAAATCAGCATGGATAATAGCATGGTTCAGGGGTTAAGAGTACTGGCTGCTCTTGAAGAGGACCCAGGTTTTGTTCCCAGGACCCACATGCCAGCTAACAATTGTCCATTTGTAACTGCACTTCCAGGGGATCTGACACCCTCTTTTGACCTCCAAGAGCATGGCATGACTCAGTTGCACTTACATGCATGTAGGCAGTACACTCACACACATAAAATAAAAATAGTGAATGAAAAAAGAACTACAACTATTCAACATTCTGAGATAGTGAATTACTTTTTCATTTCTGAAAAAAATACAAAATAAAATAGATGGTAGTGGAATCAGGTGCAACCTGGCCTCAGGTTCAGGGGCACGGGCTCCTAGAAACTGAATATATTCGATAGAACCTGTGAGGAAACTTATCATACATGATGAAAATTTACTTGACTATAGACACTTCTAACTTGATCCCAAAATTCTGAACCCAGGGTGTGGCAAGTAAAAGAGAGAGAAAATATTTGGAAAGCGAGATTTGTGGTGCAACCTGAGCAACTGTGGTTCATTTCTGAAAAAAATACAAAATAAAATAGATGGTAGTGGAATCAGGTGCGGCCTGGCCTCAGGTTCAGGGGCACCGGCTCCTAGAGACTGAATATAATCAATAGAACCTGTGAGGAACCTTATCCTACATGATGAAAATTTACTTGACTATAGCCACTTCTATTTTGATCCCAAAATTCTTAACCCAGGGTGTGGCAAGTAAAAGAGAAATTCTGGTAAGGCAGAGCAGGTTTATCCACCCACGCACACTGGTGTGGTGAATTGACTTGGTCTGGCCACTCACAGTACATGGGTTGGGCAAAGCCTAGTCAGACTACCAACCTATCAGGATGGCCTGATGACATCCATGGTCGGACAACCATAATTACCACCTAGTGATTTTCAGGACTTTGCTGCGGTCCTCAACTACTTTAGGAATCTGAGAATTTTACAGATTTCAGAAAATACACTAGAGGCCACTGGTGTAAAGCTGTCATGTGAATCTGTGAAACATCCCAAATGTCAATCAGAGAATCTTGAACTAGAGGCCAATGAGCTAATTGCTGCCTGCTGTGAGGGCCTAGATTCTTCTTTTACCCACAGTAAAATCCTGAGAAAAATCACCTGTTGGAACACACCTTGGTACACAGTGAGGTCATTGCGTTGAGTGAAGTCTGAAAACAGTCAAAGTGTAACCAGCATACAAGATCTGTGAACAACTAACTTTAATGAAGAAAACCAAGTGTTTCTGAATGTTGAGAAAAAAATGAAATCTCCTACTTGACATTCCTAAGCAGTAAGTAAGACAAACAGAAACTAAGAGTGAAAATCCCATTCCAGTAAACCTGGGCTTGTTCTGACCCCAAACCACATACAACAGAAAGGGAGTGGACCCTTACTTTGGTACACCTCAGTGCAAGAATTATAGATCACTGACACTCTAATGTTATATAATATCTCTGGAACCCAGCTGAAAGCTGTTGTGTAACACGGATGGAGTTTTTCTTTTGCAAA